CTATAACTACTACTGATAATAATAATAATAATAATAATGTATACTATTAATAAACTATTACTAATAATAAACACACAATTATTGAAAATCAATATTAATTTGTTTAATGTATATTATTTTGCGTTTAAACTAATAATAATACTACGTTTAAATGTTTTATATTATATCACATAAAATAATAAATATAATTGTTTTAAATATATTATTAAACTTATATTGATTTATAATACTTTTACCACTACTAATTATAATAATATTAATGTAAATAAAATTAAAACAAATATTACTAAATATTTATTAGGTAATAATAATAATAATAATAATATCAGAGAAACAGGTTGATGGGCTCTTTGACTTGGACCAGTAAACAAACACCCAAAATACCTTAGCAACCTAAGCATGCTGTAGCCTAGTAACTCCCCCCCCCCCCCAAAAAAAAATTGCTTCACCTTCATAATTCCCATTCCTCTCTTTCATAGCGCTTCTGGAAGTCAGAGAAATGAAAATAAATTACGCAAGGTAGAATTAATTAAAAACGTAGCTCGTAAGACAAATGCAAACCCTCTGTGTGCGCAGGAATGCAAAACTTGCTCATGCTTTTTTGTGACTTTCAACACTTTTAAAGGACTTTAATAAGTAGTCTTCTGTCAGAGAAGAAGTGATTTATGGAAAATTAGACTCGCTGTAGGATGTTTTGAGATTTAAATTCGTATTTTTCAGTAACTCAATTACTCAAACGTTTTGTGCAAGCTGTTCAGGGCAAATGATTTGACTCATGATTAGGAAGGTTATTTTTCTGGCTTTTATTTCCGATTAATTGTCCCAGATTACAAATAAAGCTGTGTATATAATTCAGACTTAATTGAAAGGAATTCAGGCTCATTAGAGTAATGAGTGAAACAAGAATGTGAGAGTGCAGTCAGCACAGCGAACCAAAGAGAAACACGGCAAAACTGATATTTTAGGTTATGGACACTAATAGTTACAAGCTTGGCCTTTAGGCAAGTTTAAAAAAAAATCCGTATTCCTTTCCCTCCTCAGTTGTACCAAACCAGTTCTACAGCTCTCTTAATAACCTCCATTGTTATGCGCCATGATCCCTGCAGGAGATCAGAGATTGAATGCTGGTTGATTCAGAGATTTCCACTTCAGAGACTTTCAAGCTTCACCATGAAATCAATGAAGTATTCTTTTAGAACGGGATATACAGTATCTAAACATTTAATATAGTCAAAGCCCCTCTATTCACTGTAATTTCATAACCTGACCATTACAGTATAGAAAGTTTTTTGCACCATTCAAATGTTGATCAAACAGTCGTGTGACCTCGTTCATGAAACACAAGCACAAATAATTCCTGTGTAAAGACTTTCTATGTGCAATCTGGCACAATTTACATAAGAATGAAGGAATAACTAACATTGTATGTTTTTGCGTTGAATTCTTTTTGTTGCAGCTGAACAGTGTTGCAGCTAATTTCTACTTACAAACCAAAGTAGTAAATAAACATGTTTATTTTGACTTAGCCTGGAAAGTAAAATTATGTTTACCATGTTATCTTTGCAAGTTTTTCTGCTCATCTTAGATGGACTATTATATTATACTGTCTTTTAAGACTTGTCAAATTAAAGTGATGAATGATGAGTATGGAACACAAGACTTCCATCTTTAAGACTGAACAGAGGGGAGGCTTGATTGGCATTTTACTGAATCATACGGTAATTTCACTAATTGTTTCTTAATTCTCTTTCACTCAATCAGCTGTACCTCGTCCTAGCAGTAATTGCATGTGTTTGTACCAGAAATATAAGGCAACATTTTTCTTTAACGTTGAATGATACTTCCTGTCAGCATGTCAGCTCCTTCCACATGACAATATAAGGAAAGACTAAAACACATTGTTCTCAGTATAAAACCCATATAAGTCCTACAGCTGGGCAAACTTTGTGAACTTGTGTGAGTTCTTTTGTACTTGAAATGTTCACTTGTGGATATTTATATCTTGCCACAGAATTGTATGTAAAAATGCTGCTATTGTTCTAATGCAGTCTCATATCTCACAAGGGTTTGCTCAAAAACAAAAGATTAGCACAATTTTAGTGGGAACAAATCAAGTGCGTGTGTGTGTACTGGTTTATATATCCTGGTGGGGACTTAAACATGACTACACACAGACTCATGGGGACTTGTGTCACGGTGGGGACTTAAATTGTGGTCCCCACGGGTACAAAAGCTTATAAATCATACAGAATTAAGTTTTTTAAATCATTTTAAAATCTAAAAATGCAGAAAGTTTCCTTTGAGGGGTAGGTTTAGGGGTAGGGTTGGTGTAGGGCAATATAACATACGGTCTGTACAGTAGAAAAACCATTACGCCTATGGAGAGTCCCCACAAGGAGAGCTGACCAGACATGTGTGTGTGTGTGTGTGTGTGTGTGTGAGATAGCCCAGCAGGCTATTTCATTCTCATGTGCTGTGGAAGTTGTTCTATTACTTCTTCAAAGTATTGTAATATCAATGCTTGTATAACTTGATGTGTACATTTGATTTTGTTATGTAATTTGGGTCAGTCTCACAAAACTTTTCAAGAACTAGGTCATGTCTGGCTTATTTTACCCCAACCCAATGTACATTTAATCCAATTTTTTAATGTATATTTACAATATTATTTACATTGTGTGTGTGTGTGTGTGTGTGTGTGTGTGTGTGTGTGTGATAGCCCAGCAGGCTATTTCATTCTCATATGCTGTGGAAGTTGTTCTATTACTTCTTCAAAGTATTGTAATATCAATGCTTGTATAACTTGATGTGTACATTTGATTTTGTTATGTAATTTGGGTCAGTCTCACAAAACTTTTCAAGAACTAGGTCATGTCTGGCTTATTTTACCCCAACCCAATGTACATTTAATCCAATTTTTTAATGTATATTTACAATATTATTTACATTTTGAAGTATCAATATATATTATTTTTTTTTGTGCTGCCTTTAACTCACCAGACATGTGTGTGTGTGTGTGTGTGTGTGTGTGTGTGTGTGTGTGATAGCCCAGCAGGCTATTTCATTCTCATATGCTGTGGAAGTTGTTCTATTACTTCTTCAAAGTATTGTAATATCAATGCTTGTATAACTTGATGTGTACATTTGATTTTGTTATGTAATTTGGGTCAGTCTCACAAAACTTTTCAAGAACTAGGTCATGTCTGGCTTATTTTACCCCAACCCAATGTACATTTAATCAAATTTTTTAATGTATATTTACAATATTATTTACATTTTGAAGTATCAATATATATTATTTTTTTTTGTGCTGCCTTTAACTCTTTTTTTTCAGATTTTAATTATTTATAAAAATGCAATTTAGTTAGTTTGCTTATTTTTCATACGTCTGGCTAATTTTACAAAAAAAAAAAAGTAAAAAACATTTTTGTAAAATAAATTGTATATATATTTTTATGTTTTAAAGTATTGATATATCGGAGAAAAAAAAAGAAAAAAAAATATATATATATATATATAATTTTTATTTTTTTTGTGCATTTTTGTAAAATAAATTGTATATATATTTTTATGTTTTAAAGTATTGATATATCGGAGAAAAAAAAAGAAAAAAAAATATATATATATATATATAATTTTTATTTTTTTTGTGCTGCCTTGTATGTATGCAGATCTAAATTATTTAAAAATATAGTGAATTAACATGAATTGACAACTTAACAAAATAGGCTTTGATTTATTTATGCAAAATGTAATTTATTTTTTTTCTTATAATTTATGGGTGACCTGGATATGTTTTTGTGAGATTCACTCAATGACTGATTTATTCACCGTTGATTAATAGTTTCAATCACTCTTGATCACCAGTGATTCTTTCTGAATGTTTCATTTGTTGTTTTGTTAAAGTTAGTCTGTCAATCTGTCTTTGGAAAATGAAAAGAAAAAAAAAATCCTTTTTGGAGTCACAAAGCTAAAAAGTTGTATCAATTGTGTCAATCTCTCTGTCAGCTGGGCAGATCTAAAGTTCAAAGACAGATGAATCAAGACAGACAGCTTTTATATCTGCGCATTCATGACCTTTATTTATTCTCTCTGCATGGTTGTGCTGCTGTTCATTTATTAAGTTTGGTTATGTGGTATTATCCGGAGATGTGTTTTAAGTTCTCCCCCATGTGTTGTTTGTGTCTGTGGTCTACAGGTCCTCCTCTTCATTGCTCATCTGCCTCCTCTTCCCCTGTCGACTCCCCTTCCCCTCCCTTTTCCCATGCAGCCAATCAGGGCCAGGGAAGGTTGCTAGGTAACAGTGGGGCTCTGGCCGGCCGGGACTCTGAGTCAGAAGATGAGTTTGGCCCCAATTCATTCTTAGTTAAAACCGGCTCAGGGAACGTCGGCGCTCCAGCCATTGCAACTCCTAACGGTGAGTCCCTCTCAATATCGCTGCCTGCTAGAGGGGTCTCGACATCCCCTGCTGGACCAGCTGTGGAGCTTGTAGAGGTAGCCACAGGCCGAACATTCATTTTTTTCTGGATATTTTGGGTAGCAGTGGAGATCACATGTTAGCAGGAACTTTTTTAACTAAGGCCTGCTGAGAAGAGAAGCTTCCGGCTGGGGTTCAGAAGTGAGGCGTGTCAGAGATGGTGAAGATTTATTGCAATCTGTTGAACTCCAGTTTCTATACTTCTAAAGATTTCTGTTAATATTGAGTTGTGTTAATCTTTCGCAGCTCTTAATTGTGTTAGATGAATGATTTTGTAATATAGAGTGATTCAAGTAAATTTAAAGGGGTCATATGATGTTGCTAAAAATAACATTATGTTGTGTATTTGGTCTAATGCAATGTGTTTATGCGGTTTAAGGTTAAAAAAACACATTATTTTCCATATAATGTACATTATTGTTTCTCCTCTATGCCCCGCCTTTCTGAAACGCATCGATTTTTACAAAGCTCATCGGTCGGAAAAGCGAGGTGTGCTCTGATTGGCCAGCTATTCAGTGTGTTGTGATTGGCCGACTGCCTCAAGCGTGTGACAGAAATAGTACGCCCCTTACCATACTGTGATGCCGTTTCCCAGCAGGACGAGACTCAGTCCAGCTGCTCTGCTCATGCACATCCCATATGTCCTCTTTTGGAAGGCCAAACAAAGTAGTTTCGCTTTCACAACGAAACACACAGCACCTTCATGACATGGCAGCGGCGGCAACAACAATACTACAGCGAGAATAAAAGTTACGCCTTCTTTCTTTGCGTGAACATTTGGGCGGCGGTATGCAAATCTTCCCACATCGTGACGTAGACGTGTGGGGGCGTGTTAGAATGAGCCGTTTTAGGTAGGTGTGGTTGACTCTTAACTTTTATAAAGAATATCTCTTTGGATTTGAGACTTTAGTCTTTGTAACTTTACAGATCTTCTTCATGCACCAAGAGCTTGTAACACTCCAAAGAGAAAGGAAAAATTGAAATCGCATCATATGACCCCTTTAAATGACCAAAATGTACCAATTTGCCTGAATTCACCCTGAAGAAATTAACCTTAAGGGATAGTTCACCCAAAAATGTCTGCTGAACACAAAACAGGTTATTTGGAAGAATGCAGGTAACCAAATAGTTGACGATAGCCATTAAATTCCAGCTTATTTTTTTCTTCCATACTATGGAAGTCAATGGCTACCGTCAACTGTTTGGTTACCCACATTCTTTAAAATATATTATTTTGTTCTCAGCAGAAGAAAGAAACTCATACAGGATTGGATCAACATGAGTAAATGATGACAAAATCTAAATTTTGGGGTGAACTATCCCTTTAAGCATGGCATATACTATCAGATACAGAATAAATATATTGCTCAGACAAGTTGATTAAATTAAGATTGACTAAATGATGTAATGTACCATGAAATCTGAAATTTGATCAAAATTCAGTTTTGATTAAAACAATCTAGTTGATGAATGTAAAAAATGGAATTTGAATGGCAATAAGTAAATAAATAATATTTGAATAATTATAATTGAAATATTTGAATTAAAAATGTAGTCAAGAATTTAATTTGTGATTATATTATTATTATTATTAAATTCCATAATTGATGCATTGAATTTTCATCATAAGCAATAGTCTATACCAAATGTACAAAACGTTTAAATTTTTTATGACTATTTATTTAACTTGAGAAGATCCCATATATTTAATTTCATTAAAACATTTATTTATTTAAAAAATGTATTCTTGGCATTCTGGACATTCATGTGTGCACTCTCTGTTTGAATGTAGACTTTGGCAGGCTAACCCTCGCTGCAGCTGTCATGACTAATTTCACCCTGTGCCGTGACTTATGAAGTGGCTCACGATATACATCACTACTTGGATGACCTGGATTGCAGTTTACTTATGCAGTTTAGGTGTAAGATCGAGTTTGTTGTTGTCCACATGCAGTGCTTTATTTCTTGCAATAATTTGCATCTGTTTCAGATCATTGTAGAGTTGCCTTCTTTAACTTTGAGTAGTGTTAGAAAGGTCAAGAAGTTTTAATGAAAGATAAAATCAATTGAAAGCCTGTAAATGATAAAAAGCTTGATGGCATGCCCTGCTGGGGAAAAAAGTGACCAGCACAGCAGGAACTTTAACCACAGTGAATCAATTTTACAAGTTACTGTGTCCTCACTAATGAGCTGCTGATGAAAAGCGCATGATGAGGTGATTGCGTTGTGCTGCTATTGTCGTCCATTGTTCAAATATAATGAACTTATTTACTAAGCATGTGCTTTGATGTGTTTTAAAAAGTTGAACTACTTTTAACATCCTGTTACTTGTGGAAGGACGTTATAAAGCACCGTCGCTAATAGAAAAGGTTATATGTAACAAAATGAAGATAGTGTAGTTGGCAATAATGACCCATCATAGTGTTTATGAACTTATTGTTCTGAATTTGATGTCTGTGCTGCAAGATGTTTGTACGCAACAGCTAACCAAATTAGAAATGAGATTTGTCAACATGCTTTTCAGATAAGAAAGCTTCACGTCAGTTTGATAATTGGAGGAGAGCAGAGAGCATGCCGATGCTGAGCAGTCGATATGAAGCCTGTCATTGCTAGCAGCTCTCAGCGTCTCCTTCAAGGCTTCTTTACAGAGTAGAACAAAAGAAAATGCTGTAAATAATTGATCAGCCTTTACAAGTTAACTACCCAAGGCTGGAATTACATCAAGCTCAAGAGGTTTGCGCCTGCCTGTTTCCACACGGCCCTCCGTAAAGCAATGAATTACCCTCCTGTGGCAAGAACTTTCCCTTCTCCACGCAGCAGCCTGCTACCATCCTGGTCACCTAACGGTGGCACCCCAGTGCTAAAACAGAATTTATCTTTCCGACAAATGGCTGTGATTTGCATTGGTATATAGGTTACCCTCGGGCTGCCAGTGAGGGGTAGTACACTCACCAAAGGAATCGGTCTCTTGCCTCCGAGCTATGCAAGGCACCATAAGGCTCTATTTGACTGAGACAAAGTAGCACACCACAGTGCCGTGAAAGAGGACGTTTATGCGCTGGAGTTAAGCTTAGCATCCCTGGTAGTAAAATAGTGGGATTCCTGCCAGAGGCTGTGCTGTGTTACATGAGGTCGTGCAAGGTTTGATCCTGATTTCTTTACTTCGCCTCTTACGAGTCTGTAACTTTTCTTCAGATGTCGGGTGGCTCCTGCACTGCCGGTCGTTTTGGCATTAAACAACCAAACTCTTGATGGCTTTGTTCATACAGTGGCACAATATGGTTGTCAGTACAGTTTGGACTGCTAAATACGGTTCTGTTCACACTGTTCGGTTAATTCAGAGTGACTCCAGTTTAATTTAAATTGACATCTAGATGTCTGTCCTGCCACACAACTTATTCTTTGCCATCAATTACTAATTTTATAGCTGTCATCTTCTCTCAGGTTTTGAAAACCGCCAGAAAATATTCATATTGAATTTGGTTCCCTTGTCTTTTTTCATTGAAATGCCAATTTGAGTCACCTGCTAGTAAATACGCTTGTCAGAGTAGCCATTGTGATTGTAGGTAAACAAGTGGTAAATTATGGAAATTAGCATGCTCTTTTGAAGAGCACCCTCATTGTCATTTCTGATTGTTTGGCAGCTGTATTTGCTGAGCCTTAAAACAGAAAAAGGACACAATTATAATAAGAAAAGAGAAGAGCTGCTGTTTATTCACTTAAACAACCTAATGAGTCATTTTTTCTTGATTTTTGAGATTGGGATAGTTTTTTTTTACCTGAGAATAAACAGCCAGCTGCCTTCATTTACCAAGTATTAGCATATCACTAATATGGATATGCCAGATAGCTCAAGGCTTAATAAGAGCGATGGAGTAACGACAGACTTTTGGAGAGGTGGTCACGTCCTTTACGGTACAGTCCTTGGTTTTTAATGAAGAGGTGCCTACACGCTCATGCTGAGTGGCAGAAATTGCAGTCCAAAACACACTGTGGATTAATTAGCGCAGTTAGTGTCAAATATTTCACAGTTTCTGACCCATTTTTTTTCACCCTGCTCTCACGTAAACAGAAGCAGATGTCTTGAAAGATTTGTGTCGTGTGGGATTGAGCCTGTACTATTTGGATATGTTTTTTAGGGTTGACAATGACATGCGTTAATACCTCCCATTCCCATTTGTTCACCATGTCTGGATAATAAGGGAGCATATTCAAATTTTGTTTACTGTGTTGTGTTAACTGACCTTATTCTGCAGCCCGATTCAGCTCAGCATTACAGATTTGTCAAATTCTGGAGAGAGAAAGGGCATGGACAGGGTAAGCTTCTCGTGTAAAACGATAAGGGAGTTTAAAGGCCCAGATTCATGTTGCTGGTGTCTATATGATTTTGTGTGTCTTCAGAAACACGGGTTATTCTGTAGTTCCAGAAATGTGATCCAGTGCTGAGACTAAAGCTGAAAAGGCTTAGCTCAGGGTTTCGGACTGTGGATTCAAACACAGAGCATGTTTTCAAAGGAATTTGGTATGCTTTTCCGGCAATTGAAGAGGAATTACACATAAGAACATGGGATGGTTAAACCTGACATCTGTGGAGAGCTGAAGTATCGAATCACGAATACAGAGGTGATTAGCATTTGAAATATCAAGTCCAGAGTGTTTAAACACAACATAAAGCAGAATCTGGCCACAGTGGTAGAGTTATATGCACAAATTTCACCACCAGGAAATCTTTGCACTTCCTAAAATGAATCTCTACTTTGAGCTATCAACCTGAGATGGAGTTATCAGGCTGAGGCAATTTCACTTTTCCCAGAGAGATTCTACATTATCAACAAAAAATGCATCTGTAGCATTCTATCGACCAAAGGGCTCTCAGCTGTATTGTCTTTTTCCATTCATCTATCTTTGTTGCAGAAATTCCCTCAACTATAGTTTACGAA